TTGCTCAGCCAAGAACCTAAGGTCACCTGCACTTCCCTTTGCTACCTCTCTCCCTGACAGAGTAAGGCTAATAACGATACAGGTGATAACATGCTTCGCTTGCTCAGCCAAGAACCTAAGGTCACCCGCACTTCCCTTTGCTACCTCTCTCTCCCCCTGACAGAGTAAGGCTGATAACAATACAGGTGATAACATGCTTCACTAGCTGTATAAATAATATTTCCTTGTAAACTAGTTAGTTAACTAGGCACATTTATTTCAGCTTAGAATCGAGACTTTGTCAGATTCGGTTATTCATTTGCTTGGAAAAGAGCCTTTCCAAACTGCCATGGTCAGGAATGAGTTTCACATCACGACAGCACAAACAGCCTAGAAAAGGGCACCCTGAACAGCTTTCCAGGGTCAGGAGACTGTGAGCACTTCTGATCCTACAAGACAAGATGGCCAAAAGATGGTCAACTCTTGCAAAAGTCTTTTCCATTATGTAACATTGATGTTTGGGCTTAATGTGTAACTTTGGTGAAGTTCATGCTGTTCCATCAGACTCCCAGCTTTAGTGTTTCCCATATTTAGATAAGGAAGGGGATGCACAAGACTGGCTGGTACCTCTGCTACAAACCTGCATTTCTCTGTGTGCCCGCACACATTCCAGTGAGATATTTAATCTCAGTCTCCAGACTCAATCAACACACAGGCTAAAGATATTAATCAGAGAGTTGTTTTGTTTTTCTGGAAGCCAAGGCACTCCTTCCACTCATATTCACAAGATCAGACTATTGCAGGGATCATTCCAGTGCTACAGCTGCCTCTGCTGCAGAAGAATCACGAGGACCTGGCTGTAAAACTACCTAATGGCTTGCATTTCTCACCATCGGTGGATTGCTGGTCTTTAAAAGGAGCCCATGAAAACTCTACAAATCCTGATCCTCACAGCAAGGGAAAGAAACTCTTTAAAGTATGAGGTAGCCGGTGACATTCTCTTATGGAAAAGATACTTCTGGCTTGCAGCTTCCATGCCCTTATTTTTCATCATTTTAAAAAGAATTCCACCAGCTCCCCAATTTCCCCAGGATCTCATCAACTCCCTGGTCTCTCCCACTCCATGAGAGACAGGACAAAGTGCTTGATGTGTTTTAGGATTCTTTGGAAGTGGGAGAGCAGCTCTTCATTTCTTCATCTCCACATTTGCAAGTTTTAGATCGGTGTTGTGAAAACACAACACTGAATTCTGAGGGACTTACCTCTTTGCTGACTTAACAGCCTTCTCAATCCCTGCTCACAGATTAGCAAAGCCAGGCTGCAGAGGAATTTAGCTCAAAACAACTAGAGACAGTAAAACTACTGAATCTGAAAAAAAAACACAACAAAAACCAAGTCTAATGAAGAATCACAGTCTAATGAAGAATTAAAGATTGTAGTTAAAGTCTCTGAAGCAAGCACTGGGGAAGGGAAAGAAAAACAGGTTAGCAGCTATTCCTTTAGCCAAATGGAACCATTCATGTTATTTCAGGTTATATACCACCTCAAAACAGAACAAACCACTTTACCACTGTACTTTTGGCAGTACAGGTTTGTATAAGGTATCATCCATTGTATGAGGCTTGTATGAAGTATCTTGGTGCTACTTCTAGAAGTTAACTGCAGAAGAAAAGAGAGGCTGGAACAAGTTTGAAATGAATAGCATTAAGCCATTATCATTAAAGACTGATAAAGTGCTATCAATAACCCCAAACCAACAATCTGATACTGATTTGCCTCAACCAAAATAACAAAAGCAAAGAGACATAGACTTTGTTTAAAGACTTTTCCATTTTTATAGTAATTTTTTGCAACACAGGTAAGAAGACATATACAATAAAATTTTCAAAAGAAAATATTTCACAACAGTGGAGCAAGCAGTAACCACTGCACGTGCACTCTGTGGTGCTTCACTATCCGCTCCAGACAGGCAGCATCACTGCCCAGGTCGCTGGTGCTGCTCCCTGCCTGCTGCCCATGCCAACAGCAGAGTTCTCCGCACACATCTTGGCAAACGAGCTCACAAATTTGACCTCTACAGCTTCAGCACAGAAATCTCCACCCCTGCAAGATGCTAACAAGACCTATTTCAGTGCAGTTTCCTCAGGATTTCAGCTACTCAACACGTGGTCACTAAGACTTACACAGATATGCACACAGACACAGATGTCAGTACTATACCAAAGACTGAGTCCACGTTCAGAGATGTAGATGGGTTCTCAAATCTCTGCTACACATTTAAACAAAGACACTGACCAACTGCCCCTGCTCTAGTTCCCTTGTGTCTTAGTGCATGTGAAGGAGCACATTGCACAAGCAGCAGCCCTTGACGAAGACCTGGAATACACAAGAATACTGACAGTCCTTCACTGCTTGCTTTAAAAAAAAATAAAGAAAAAAGAAAAGGAAAACAAACTTGCAAAAAGGGTAAGAACCTTCGAGCCTGAAGAACGCAGCCATTTAATAAGGTAACTTTTACAAGTTGACTTTGCATGCCACCATCCTCCAGCACAGCACAGGCTGTGGTTCTCCCTGCAGCAGGAAAAGGCGGCGGCGTTTTGGGCATAGGTCCGTTCCTGCGGGCACGGAGCCGGCATGCCCGTGCCTGCCCCTGTCCTTCCAAATGGCAACTGTGGTCTGCTTCAAAGTCTTGTCATCTCCTACCGAAGGGGAAATCTTGCCCTCCCTTCTGAAGGCAACGGCTTCGATGACAACTCAGTCTGAAAACCCGAGCCCAGCACGCTAGTCACTGCTTTGCCTTTTTCACAATGGTGCCAACAGCAGAGATGACTGTAGTCTTGGATCCACTTGCGCTTGTTGTCACCGTGACAACACCTGGCAGCGTGGCGGTCGTGGTGAGGATGGTGGGCTGAGCTATTGTTGTTACAGGGATGGCCGAGTCCCACTTGCTCTTCCTCTTCTGTGCATCTGCACATGAGATTAGACAAAGCAAACAAGGATTAGCTAATTACTGTGCTAAGCATCACAGCCCTTAATAACACCTCTTCTTGTCAACTTTTTATTTTCATTTAATCTTTACCGCTGATTGACTAAACAACTCTCCCTTGCATTAGCTGCAGCACAAGCCCTCAGTAAATGATGAGGAAAAAAAAGACAACTAGAGGCATTTTATACTTCAAGAGTCAAACTCCACATCTGAACTCCAGCCAAATGAGACAGGTTCACTCCCTGCCCCAAAGCAAGTTTAGCTTTAACGGAGCACATGTATTTTGGTTCCTCAGGTATGTGCACAGGGCACTCGCAGGGTTTTCTCCAATCCTCCCAGTTTAAGGAGACAGACCGTAGGCAGGAGAATCATTAACAGTCTGTTAACGGTTGTCCAAGAGATGCAGCAGTCCCAAGTGAACACAGCACAGGCAGCTGCAGATTTCTTGACCCACCAACAGATATTTTCACTGCCTGGACTCCCCAAAGCCTTCGTTCCAGGACCCCCGTGGGATATGGGCACTAGAGGAAAGCTAATCTATAAGATCCTGGAAGAAACACTTCTCTTGTGCTACATATGCAATCAGTAAGGAGCTTTTAGAGTTTCTAGGATGCAATAACCCCAGCATTTCTCCAGATTATCAGGTGCAGCCAAAACCAAGTCTTTACCTCCCACAGTGGTACTGGCTGTTGTGGTTGTTGTAGAGGCAGCGCTCGTCGTTGTCCCCTTTTTAGTGCCAGTCACAAACTCAATCTGGGAGAGACACCAGGGAGAAAGGGGAGAAAAAAAGTCAATATACACAGGTTTTTTTTTTCAATATACACAGTTTTTTTTTAATATACTTTTTTTTTTTTTTACCCTAATCTACATCTTCAAATGTTGGATTTAAAGAATAGCAGAGACACTGGCCTCTGAGCTGAATGTCATGTAGGAAGACAGACATTCTCAGGCCAAAGTGCACTGAAGGCCTAATCATTAAGGGTCCTTGTGCCCAAGTTCCTAAGTTATATATCATAACACTGTTTAATTAGTACAAGCATAAGGACTTGAAAATGCGTGTAACAAGTATAAGCCTAAGGACTTGATGCAGTTTTTGGAGAATAAGGAAAGGTCTATATCTATATGACATCTATAGGGTTGTACGCTTTTCCAAAGAAAAAGAGAAACTTTTAAGACACAAGTTCCTATTTGTATGACTGCATCACAACAGGAAACCTAGCAACAAGAATTACAACCACATGCAACCTCATATTTCCAAAACTGCAGATATGGGGAAGGAGGATGTAATCAGATAGCTGGGTTACAAAAAATAAAAATAAAAGAAAGGCAAACACAGAACAAGTAGCAAGATGTAGTATGCACTAGTAGCAAAAAATACCTCCAAATACTACTATTTAAGGAACCTTCTGCTAGGTTAGAGAGCCATCTGTACATTCAACAGTTTATTGATACCAGTCACTAATTTAAAGGCAACATCACCAAAGCAGAGGAATAAAGTCTTCCAGAGCACACCTGTACTCTTAGCAAGGGGCACAGAAGCACACACAAAACACTCCCAAGTTAAAGAACAGAAATCAGATTCTGGCTCTCAGTGAGATTTGATGAGTAATTTAAGTTGTATTAGGCTATGCAACCAGGCATAGTTTGGTTCTTTATGCAATATCTTGCCTTTATCTGGCTTACTGAGCACCATTTTGGGTGCTCTGGTTTAAAGCATGAACAGAAGGGAAACCAGTGGAATAAATGGCCTAAAGAAATGGATGTATAAGGGAAGGCAAAAGAAGTTGATCTGTGCAGTTTGCAAAAAACATGCAGGAAGAAAGGACAGAGCCAGAGGAGGAAAATGCATTAGCACAGAGGACAGTCCATAGGAAACAGCAAAGCAACAAAACGAAATTCAGCAAGGAAACTAGAAATGTGCTTCACTCCCATAGCTTTTGGTTTTGGACAGCTACCTTTGTGCGTTCCTTCTTGGCCTTCTCCAATTTGTCCATTTCAATCTTCTGTGCTTTAGCTGAGAAAAATGAGAAAACAGACACTGGAATCAGTAAAAACTCTGCCATTCTTCCACCATGAAAAATCAAAAATAACTTCAAACTGTGTATAGACAACTGAATTGCTAAGAAATCACCTTCTCTGAGCAAAGCATTACTGCACTAGATTAATGATTTAAGATATGAAGAAGTTAAAACAGCAGTTTAAATGAGAGGGCTTTCCAGATTGATGAAGCATCAATAAAATTCAGGCACATTCAACCAGAATGAAGCAGTGCAAAAGCCTGACACCTTTTCTCTTATAAAGACAGTAAAGGTTCCAGTGCATTTCAGTATAACCACAAAAAATGAAAGAGCTAAGACAAAAGAAATGATGAATTACCTAGTGCCTCATAATAGGAATCCTCTGACCAGCCATGAGGATCAAACATGTCCTAAAAGGAGAAAAAAAGTCACATCAAGGCTATTTTGACAAAGAATCTAGTTCTAAAATGTTATGTGTTTCTGTTCATGGATGGTATTCCATTTCAAATCTTTTGAAATGCCATATTCTGTTGTGATTGGAAAGAACATTTTTGAAACCAAGTGGGTTCTCAGATAAGATATGTATTTCTCTGTTGTTTCTGTGTTCTGTCACTCTCTGTGTCATATATAACCATATTTTTCAGCAAGGTGTTAGCTCAGAGTCCTTACAGCAAAGATGGAGACACTGAGGCCCAGCATCACATGTCTTAAAATGTTTATTCCGTGCAGAGGGCCAGACTAACATTCCCTTGAAGGAAAGCAGCAGACTCAAGAGAGCAAAGCCAAGAATTCATATGTCCCTGCATCATCTTTTATCCTCTCCCTCGCCTGTCAGAAGTATTGCACCTCACCTTTGGATAATTTGTGCCAAGTTCATCGATTGAACAAAACTGGATCAGTTTTTCATAGATGCTGCAAAGGAAAGATGAGAGTTGAGTTCCAGCTCACTCATTTAAATTTAGATGTTTCACATTTATTAGCAAGACACTCTCTTCACAATATAACATTAAAATCAGAACCCAGGCTGTTTTGCTCTCTGATGTAGGCAGCATGCTCCCAAGTGCAGTAATCTCACTTCCTCCAAAAATTAATCTCACATCTCCCAGAGCAATCTGAAATAAGCTATACAAAAAACTTGCACATTAAATGGGCTTAAAATCCAACTGGCATGACAAGTCAAGATGCTGCCACACAGAATGCCAAAGAGCTTTGCTGTTTCAGTTACTATCAAATTATGCTTTTCACAATTTTTTAAGCAATTCCACTGCTTGCTCAGGAACTCATTTCTACTATAATACCAGTAGCAAAGAGAAAAATTCTTGTAGCTTATTGTGTGGTACTTTGGCCACACAGGAAAGGACGATGGCTCACCTGGGGTTGCGGAACTCCTTTTTCCTTTGAATGATATAATTCATATCCATGCCCTCTTTCATTTTTCTCTCATACAGCTTTTGAATTTTATCCTAAGGGAGCAAGATTGCAGAGTGAGTGAATATAAGAATGAGGAGCAACACTAGCAAAGCACAAATGTGAAAACAAGCCAGCTGGACCAGTGACATCTTTACATGGAGCAAAGATTGCAGCTCTCCCCCAGGGCCAGCTCAGTTTTGGGGTCAAACCAAGGGAATGCATGCATTCTTCTCTGCCCTCTCTTTAAAATACCATATGATTCACATCTGTAATGTCCACGGATTTAGAGCTACTAGGTCACATTTACAATGGGGAAGACTCTCTTTGGTAGAGTTCAAGACAGTTTATTAGAGGAAGAAGCTGACAGAAGCAACAAATCAACACTGAAAGACTCAGAACAGTGAGTTTCCAAAGAACAATCCCATCTTTTTGCTCCGAGTCTTCTAAGATGTGGTTTGACCTGCTAACAGAGGATAAGTTCTACTTTGATTTAACCCAGTAAACTACAGTCAAAAGGGAAGGTGCCTGCTGTATTCTCTGCATTCCTCAGATCTAACACACTCAGTAACTCATTGATGTCAGAACAAGAAAACTCTGCCGCAGCATAACAGAACTCCTGGGTGCGTCTAGATATGCCACACTGAAGAAAAGGCTGATTCAGGTGGTGAGTCAGTCACTCTGAATCACCCTAGTGACTCGCTTTGTAGAGGTTTCCAGAAGTCCTTTTTAACTCCTATTTCGATCAGGTAGATAAATGCAGATAAAAACTCAAATGGATGGTAACATCCATTTGGATGGAAACTGCAGCCACTGCTCTTTCTACCTATCCTGGAAAGGAGTTTTGTTATACACAGCAGTCTGCAGAACATCTCCCAGAAGCACCACAAGCCAAACTCTGTCAGTGGAAGGTAGCTCAAGTTTGTTACTTCTGCTCTAAAGCAGATGCTTCTTACCTGAGCAGTAAGGAAGGTACCATTAAACACAAACACAGCTCCCTTACAGTTTTCATTTTGGACAGATGTAAGACAAGAAGCCATCAGCAAATGGGTGGACTAACTCCTTTATATAAGCACAATGCAGGCTGGATACAGGGAATACTATAACCGGACGTTAAAATTCCTGCTAGATGCAACCACAACCAGAGGCTCATTTAATAACATCGTAAATCCAAGATCTGTAGGACTGGCAAGTCAAGTGCATAGCAAGAGCTTTTTGTAAGTCAAACTGATTAGAAAAACAACTTACATCACAAGGCAAAGTTGAGATGCTCAGGGAAGTGAACTGTGATAGTCTTAAACTGATAATTATTGCAATTATTTGGGCATGCACCAGAAAAAATAAGCATTTGTTTTCCTTCACTGCCTCTGGGTCACTAGCCTTCCCTCCAAATGTTTATCATCTAGAGATATGTAGGTGGAAAAGGAATCTAGTTAATGCTGCCTCAACTTTTCCAGTTAGGGGATTCTCAGGCCCATGTAGAAAAACAATGATTTGTTCTCTCCTACAGAGCTGAATTTGCTGAGGTAAGAGGATGGCAGCCTTCACAGTAAACATTGCTTCTGTATCACTGCTGGAATCAAGAGCCGTTTTAATGCACAAGTGACCCACACAGACTGTGGAGAACAGCATAAAGCTAAATTTGAGGCTCCTAAACTAGAATTGCTGCCAAGTCTAAAGCATTAAAACAGTGCATTCAAAAAAAAAAAAAATCAGTATTTTTGTTTAAAACGGCTTTTTTTAAAACAGTTTTAATGCTGGATTTTTCATGTACACAAAAATATTAAGAGTTCTCAGAGACCCCTGCCACACTGAGATACAAACCTCGCATTAAAACAGTGCATTCAAAAAAAAATCAGAATTTTTGTTTAAAACAGCTTTTTTTAAACAGCTTTAATGCTGGATTTTTGATGTGCACAAAAATATTAAGAGTTCTCAGAGGCCCCCTGACACGCTAAGATAAAAACCTTTTAAGCAAAATAAAGTGGAAAAGAAGTTATACCAACCTGTAAGTGGTTAGAGCATCTGCCAGGAGGCTCAGGTGGGATTTTGATCTCATCAGGAGACATATTCCTCACTCTCTCTGAAAAAGAGGCTGCAGAGAACAAATTGGGCATCAGTTCCAGCAAAACTAAAGCAATTAAAAACAAATTTTCTGACTTGCATGGGCTTCTGTCTTTGCTAGTGCTAGGCTATCACAGAGAACCAATGCGTAAATTTGAGAGAGGAATGTTGTAAACTGCTAGTCATGGTATTTTGAAAGTGCTGTTAAAGAAATGTTTAACCTAAAGGTTGGATCACTGGTAGAACCGTGTGTGATGTTGGCACCCAATATTGACATCTAACTTATTCTGTAGCTTGGTGTTATTTAATATCGAGTCTTTCCACCCGGAGTGAAAGTGTGAAAAGCAGATCCTTAAAGATACAAGAGCTGCAGGGGAGAAAAATGTAGGTTCATGATATATCCTCAACACGGTACACGCTGAGCTTTCCACTACTCCAGATCACCCATACGTTCTTTAAAATCCTGCTCTGAAGAGCCTGGATAACCTGGACTCTCTGGTGAGACCTTGGACAAGATATTTTTGCAGGGAGAGCTGGACTCTGCATCTGAAGAGGCAGAGGATGAACCTACTCCAGCCTGGCCTACTGCTATGCTTGGGGCGCTAACCAGTTTGGATCCCGTTTGCTTCAACGTTTACCTATGAGTCAAAATGGTTCAAAAAGCAAACACCCCTCAGCAGAGCTGTCAGGAGTTAACCACAAGAAGCAACGTTTCATCCTTAAGTTAATATTTTCTTAATGGCCACTTTAACTGCTTACAGATCAGACCATTCCTAAAAAGAGCAGCTCGTGCTCTGGGGTCGAGGACAAACCTCTGCAGCGTGAAGGCTCCCAGCCAACTGCTGGTGCTGGGATACCCCCTTCCAAGCATGGAAATCCCATTGCAGTTTCCTGGTCAAGTCCTGGAGCAAAATTTCAGGCTACTTTTAAGCAGTCAGGTTTATTTTCAGCCACAGTTAATGTGACACATGCCAGATGGGCACAGTCTATGCGTACGTGGGCAGGGGGAAGACCCATCACCAGCAGAGAAGGCAAATGAAGACACTCACATCGAGAGCTCCCTGACAGCACAGTCTTGTGTAAAAGCTGAACTGACTGAACTGCAGTCCCAGCACATTCAATTCAGCTCCTTTCAGTGAAGGCCAGAAGGGCCCAGAGGGCAGCCCTTGGTATTTGAGCAGAACACAGTACCCCACGTGGCAGCACGGACCATCAGAGAGCTGAGGTTACAGATAATCAGCACTATGCATGTTCAGTGCCGCTCCAGTTCCCTGCTCTTTTGTAAAAATGTAAAGCAATAAGGACAAAATCCATTCGGGACACCAAGCTGGAAGGTGACCACTTGTTTTATTGATAAGGATGTCACTGAGGGTTAAATTCTTCAGCAGTTGCTAGAAAGGAAGAGAAAGTCTCCTTTGGTATTTACTAAGAGGGTGCCTCTATAGCGAAGGGAAAGCTTGCCAGAGTCCCTACAGAAAAGCTGAGGCTCCTTTACAACAAGGCAGACATTTGTTAGAGGTTACAGCTGCTGGCACGATGGGGAAGTCTCTGATTTAATGAGAATTTTGGGAACTCAGAGAAGCAGTTGCAAACAGACAGAAATGACAGCACACCAGGCTTCCAGGAAAGCCAAGATTCACAATATCAACAATAAAATATTAAAATTAGGCTAAGAGGCCACTAACTAAGTCTGAACTTGAAAAAAGCTTAAAGAAAAAGCCTAGCGCTCAGACTAGACCCCACAGCCTCCTGAGCTTCTTTGCAGATGAGCAGAGAAGTCATGAAGAAACATCTAAGGGAAGGAGAACTCTGGCCTCGTATCAACTGAGGCACCAAGGGCAAGATCTAGGCAATAAAGAAGTCAAAGCTGCTTGAACCATATGAAAACAAATCAATTATACTGGTAAGGGGAATTGTGTCTTCTAATAGCTTATAAGCAACTGGAATTTAGACATCTTTGTCCACTGCAATCCCCCCATGACTGCACAGGGCTGAGGACTGGGTCAGCAGCAGGGCTACATAAGGGGAATTGTGTCTTCTAATAGCTTTTAAGGAACTGGAATTTAGACATCTTTGTCCATTGCAATCCCTCCGTGACTGCACAGGGCTGAGGACTGGGTCGGCAGCAGGGCTACGTGTGCTGCTGCACCTCCCAAGCTGAGCACACACAAACACTCATCATTGCTCAGTTATTTCAGCACATCGCAGTCAGACTGAGGCCACATCATTAGGAAGAAAAGCAGGAGTTCAACCCCTTCAGGTTTGTTTACCGCAAGAAAACACACATCATTTGTGCCCTTGAGCAGTCCCTAGACTCGCTCTGCAAACGGGCATCCACGTGGCTGGTTCCACAGCCTTTTTCCAGTGGCCATTGCCCTGGACATGGTTTGGATCATTGCTCCAGGGGAACGTGGAAGTGCTGCAGGTATCAACCCCCAGGTGCTACGTAACAGGTCTCGTGTTTTCAAAGCCCCAAGCAAATGGACATCCTGCTCCCAGCAGCTTTTTCCTGCACATACAGCAGCAAATGCAAACGAAGAGCTAATGCCAAGGTGTGTCCTCACAGGATACATGCAACTATTTTGTGCATCCTGTTATTTCTGCCAAGATCAAAGCTTTACTTCTGCATGAGTCAGAGGCAGTGACAGTGGCTGCAGGTTCCAATTGGGCCTGCAATTTGCTGGCTCACAGCCCAAAGGATCTCCACTTGGGGACTATCAAAGTTGGCTGTTGGCATGATTAATCACCATGGCACACCCAAGTTCTGACTAAAAATGAGTAAACAGCTTTACCTGCACTAGGAATCTGACTGGGAGAAGAACATTTTTAAGAAACAGGCCCCAAACCAGATCCTATGAGTCAGCTGGGGGTTCAGGACAGCAGGATCACGGCAGTGTCAGGTCAGCAACTCAAAGCATCCTCCTGTTGAGGAGAGAGGTGGAGGAGGCCACTCTTGCTCCATTCATTCACAGACTGACCTAAAAGCTAAACAACCTCAGCACTACATGGAATAGAAACTCATGGTTTTGGTGTAGCAGGCGTGGGAAGGCAGAGATGTCCAGCTGGTCCTGAAGTCTGAGGAGGCCAATGCACGACCAGATACTAGGACATATTGCAGAAAGATTCAAAATTTCAGTAGCCAGCACACTACTACTGCAATTTGCTTACCAGAGATCTGGAAGAGACAGGTGATTAAATGACAGATTTAGCCTGGTTCAGTTTCAGATGGGTGGGTTATTTGGGCAGTACAGTGGGCAGAATAAAGACACAACAAAAGCAGGACAGAAGAGACTGGAGTACAACGTGCCACACTGCAGAGAGGACACTGCCGTGGGGCAACTGGCCAGGGTGCTTCTTCCAGAAAATGACTGTTCACAGGCTGAGACACAGGCCCAACAGCACATGCTGGAGCCCCACTTCCAGCAAATGGTTAAGCAGCTTTGCTTAGTGCAGCAAGGACCAACAAATGAGTGATTCTGAGGGCAGCAGCGAGCATGAGAGCAGCTGGCAGTACTGGACAGTCTGGGGTAGGGGTGATAGGACGATCTGGTAACTCACCTTGTCTCAGTGAGCAACACTGCTGCCCAGGTAGCACCAACAACCTCGTCCCTTTCCAAGTTCCCCTAGAAACATGCAAACCAGCAGAGCCTGCTCTCTAAGACCACATTCTTTGGCATTCTCATCAAGTCTGCTTGGCAGAAGCCAGGCCGTGTGGGTTTCTGCTCTCCTGGCACCAAAACGGCCAAAGCGCAGGGAAGAATCCGAGGCAACAACATGCCAGTGAGTCACCCATCCATGAAAGGACACCAGTTTCCCCGACCGCTCTGTGGGCTGAGAAATGCACAGAAAGACCAGCATTTCAGCCATATTTTCTGCCGTTATCAACGCTGACTTTGTGTTTAGATATCCTAAGGGCAGGAGAGGACATTTCTTATAGGCCAAAAGGTAAACAAAGCTATGCTGGAGAAGAAAAAAAAAAAGCCCTGGGATAACAAATCCGTCCTAAAAGTATTATTTTGCAAGACTACAGGAAACAGCAAACAGAGGTGTGCTGTCAGTAACATGGACTCTTTAGAGTAGGGCAAAAATGAGGACGATGCATGGATGAAGAAATTTAATAAAGAAGGTCCACCTATAGCCCTTTTGCAACCAGAACAGTAACTGCTGGAAAGCTCCCTTTTCATTACACCATCAGGATAAGTCAGGGTACCCGTGCCTCTCCCAGCTGCTTGGTTTTGGTGTTTCCTACACCAGCTCTAGTGCTCCCCTGGCAGGCACGGAGCACACGAGGGAATGGAGCCAGCTGGCAGCCTCATAGGGAGGAGGAGGAAAGACAAGGAGATGTGGGGTGGGGAGAAGGTAGATGTCTGCTGGCTCCGTCTCCCCATCGAGCTCCCAGCACACAGACACTGGCATGTGCACAGGGAAGGCAGGACAAACACTGCTCTTGGCAGGAGCCTGTATTTGTGCTGCGCTTAAGTGGCTGGAGAGCCAAGAACTTAGTGTGTGAAGGTGACAAGTGGCCAGGTTATCCGAGAAGGGCATTTCTTTCAATAAAGAAAGCAGTTCTGAAGAACTAAGGAAGACTTACACTTCCACATACAGATACCAGACAGAACTCTAGACCTCTAGATTGCACCAATTACTCACTTTGGGTCAGGAAAAACCTCTATCTTTTTCCATTCAAGAACTCTAAGCCTCTAAAAGCCTTAGCTTCCAGGAAGGGAGTGGTTCTTATATTACACCAACAACACAGCTCTTGCAACAGTTCCTTTTCAACTAGATAAGATAGGGTTTGATTCAAGTGAACTGCAGAATCCTGCATGGCAAATATTCCAGGCCCAGGTAACCTGCCTGCCCTGTGTGCAGCTTTCAAACTTGGGATAAGGAGAAAAAAAAAAAAGAAGAAAAAAAAGTTCAATCTCCTGATCTTCCACAGATGGGGAAATCTCTGGGGAAGAGGGGGACTACTGCAGAGCTTTACTTGCATGCAGAAAACAGAAATACAATTGCTGTTCAAGTATTCTTACCTTAATCCTAATCTCATCACATTTTTGTTTCCTGGGTGCATTTTAGAGTAAATCAGCGGTTTGCACAAAGAGCTCTGTTGCATTTGGTGATAAGGCTGGTTAAGGGAGTTTTGCCCTCTAAGGGCAAATATATTTGTATAAGAATCAGTTTGATACAGAGTCTAGGCAGGTCATTGGAAAAGGACCTAAATCCAAAAATTTAATGATGGTTTCTTTACTCGTCATTTATTACAGTATCATCACATGATACTACACAACTGTACTAACAACCTCAGGAACAAAGGGCTAGTTTGAGATGGTCAGAACATCAACATAAAATACAACAGCACTTTCTATATGGTCCCACACAAGGCAAGCAGAATATACTATTTCTAGCTGCTTACAATGGATTTTCCAAGAGTTTGTTCCAAACCTAATCATGGTGCAATGAATAAGTCAGACATCACAAAAATCAAATGGTTTTCAAGAAACTTTAGAAGGCAGATATGTGGTGCTGTGTCAATGCACTAGCTATGAAACACTGCATGGATCACATGTAAGCAGGGATACAAGTTTGTGAAACCACGGGGCAGGGAAAAAGAAAGCATCTGTCATCATTCCTGGTTACAGTGGCTCCAGAGGCTACCTGGGCTATATTGTTTTTAAGCTCATCTGGAAAAACACCAGCATGGCCCAACACATATTGGTTACAAGAGGGTGGACCTCTAGTATCTAGTTCCAATACATGTGAATGAACAAACACTTCTTGTGAATGAATAAATACTTCAGTGAACTTACCAACTAGCTCCTGGGGATCTCTTTTCTCCAGTTCTGAGAATTCCTAGGAGGAAAGAAGAAGTAGATTTTAATTAAGGTATGCTTTTGACAGGAGAAAAAAAAAGAAAAAAAAGCTATACTGGCCATTTGTTTAGAAATATACACATTACTTCTAGGACAAAGGAATAGAAATGAAGAATAAAATGCGAGTTATTAACAGGGCAATGTCTGCACCATGGAATCTCAAAGCCTTACAGGATACTCTATTTCCTTCCAAAGCTAGAGTCTAAATTTAATCAAATAATTAAGGCTCTGTTTCTGCAAGTCCTGAGCACTGAGCTACTTTTCAGTTCCATGAAAACTGCTGTACTTGAAGGCTTTTCCTCACAACAGACAAAACCATGGGCACTTCATATCCCATGCCCAGCCTCTGGCCAAGAGGTGCTGCTTTAGAGCACAGCCAGTGAAACACGAGCTGGATCCAGGACACAAAAGGTGACCTAGAGCTCGGGAATGCCTCCTGCTAAGCCAGGCCAGCGGGATGTGATCCCTACAGCAACACCAGGGCCAGGGTGCTGGCACTCCAGAGCAGCATCGCGCTCTGCAGACACCCCGTGTCCACGCTCCATTCAGCGGCCCAGGCCACAGAGGTCTCCCAGGGTGCCAGGACTCCCTTCTATGTTCATACCCTTCAGGGCTGTGGCTAATAAACCCTCCCAGAATCAACGTCTGCAGCAAATACAGACACCCTATTCCCACTTTGGAAGGCTTCTGTTGTCCATCTCCTCTTGCCATCTCCTCTCCAGGAGCAATACAACAGATTTGCAGTACCAGCAAATTAAGGGCAAGCTCAAATAAATGGGGAAGGTCTTTCAATATTGCAACACAGACTAATCCATTCTCTGTAACATGGATACAAATTAAAGGCAGCTTCAGCTGGGGGAGCGCAGCAGGTGCCAGCAACAGCTTCTGCTAAGCAGGGGCTGTTTGGATAAGGTAGGATAAGGAATTCCTCAAGATACCTTCGCTAGGTTGCAACCAAATGTCTCTAAACTTCAGACAGACCCCAGGAGAGCCACGAGTAAGATCAAGTTCTGCACAAGTTAGGCTTCCAAACCAGTATCAGCTGTACCCTAACATTGTCCTCCCCCCGCTCCCTCCCAAAGGCTTTTTGTGACTCACTGGGCTGTGTGTCACAAAGTCCTCCGGGCTCCGAACACTGCAGCTATTCATTCAACCTGACATGGCCATAATGCTGCCTCCTTGCTGCTTAGTAACAGCTCTTGAACCCCCCTCGTCTGCTCCGCTCCGTTTCCAAGCAGGTGAGAGGTGCCCTGGGTGCACGCGGAGAGAGGAGGAGCAGGACAAGGTCGCCCAGCCAGTTGGGGAACGTGCTCGGTCAAACTCATTGCGAAAACCTACCCGGTTCCAGAGAGCCAGAGCCCTGCAGGAGCAGAAAACACACATTCTTTTGGAGGCACTAGCTGCTTTGGGGCACTGTTCATAGCCCTCCATGAAAAAAAGCACTGTCTCTCCACTGGGAGCACAAAAAACCCACAAGGCTAATGCTATTTTAGCAAGTACATGAAGGAACACGCAATTTCTTGCTGGCCAGCTGGCTGTGAACCAGCCCGCTCTGCGGCCCCGGACACTCCAACACGCCTGGGTCAGCCTGTTAACACATCTTCTCCCAGGGGTTTCCAAAAGAACAACAGAAGCAGAAAGAGTTAAACAGAAATATGATAATTCAATCAAAAAAACTAAGGGCATGCCAGAAAGATGAGCCCCAGATGGGGATTCGGGCAAGGCAGGTTGTGTTCTCCAGACCTGCAAGACGCTGCATTAACACGGGGAACCTCAGGTGCCTCCACCTGATGAGCCTCATCAGTGGAAAGGGTGGGTTTCTGCAGTAATTAACAGATTGCTGTGCAGGACACCCTTGGATGAGCACACAAGTGTTGCAAGCAGGCTGGGGAGCCCAGAGAGCTCCACACGCAAGGGAAGCGGCGGCGCAGACCGTGCACGCGCCGCACTTAAACACTCACACAACAGACTGCTTTAGTTCCTGGAGGAGGAGATGTTACTGCAATGCATTTCTCACCTGCGATTCACAGACAGCAAACAAATATTTGGAAGGTGGAAGGAGGGAACTGTGTTGGCCTCATCCTTAGGCGGATTAAAGTCTACAGCTGATGTTACTTGAAAGTTTTTGTTACATAGCCCCCCTTCCCTTTCAGTCTATATCCCCAAACACTCACTGGTCCTTACTCTTATGCAGCACTGTGTTTCATTACTCTGCTATCCCACCTCTCACCCTCCAAGCGCACGAAGGCGAGAGAAAAATCCTCAAAACAAAATCTACCAAGTACATCCTTAAATTCCCTTTCAGTCTATATCCCCAAACACTCACTGGTCCTTACTCTTATGCAGCACTGTGTTTCATTACTCCGCTATCCTACCTCTCACCCTCCAAGCGCACCAAGGCAAGAGAAAAATCCTCAAAACAAATTTATGAAGTACATCCTTAAGGAACTCAACAGCACAAATTCAAGCGCGTTAGGTACTACCCGCCCTCAAAAACAGAGCAAATTAATAATGCAACCTTAGCAGGATTGCAGGGCCCTTCACTGTATTTCTGAAGTTTTCTAAAGCCCATTTTAAAGTCTCTTGTAGCTCTCTGGAGCCAGCACCAAATGCACCAACATCGTTGTCAGGGAACAGCTTAATATTCCAAGAAATAACTTGATAGCCAAAACCTCTCTAAATATTTATCCTAGCCTTGAATATTCCTCTAAAATGACAGACATGCTAAACAGTAAGCTGCATGGGCTTCCAGGGCTGTAAGTTTTTCAGCACCAGAGGGGAATTTAGCCTTTAAGTTGAATCCTGGAGCAACAGCCGGAGTCAGCGCCAGGACTGCTGAGGAGCAGCCAGGCCCATGAGGCTGCAGCTGGGTGTTCACCTGCCCCAGCCACCTCCACCCATTTCAACACAGTCGCTCCAGCAAGCCCCATCTCTGCATCCTGAGGACACAGCCAAAACACCAGAAACCCTAGAGCTACAGCAGGCGAAAGAAAACAAGTTCACTAACGTCTTACAGCCGCACCTCACTGCCCAGGGGATATGGAATCTGTTTACTGGGGAGTTATTGCTTACCTACACCCACCACTCCATGATTTGCAAGCTGAAGACAGCAACATGGCTTGTCATTAAGGCAGGCTTCTTTCAAGACCCAGATGTCTTCAAAAAACAAAGGGATGATGGATCCTCCTAGGGCACTTGTTCGTATTTGTTCAGTTCACTGTTCAACACTACAGCAGACAAGTATCAACAGTTTGACTGAGGGCCTACAGTCCAAAAACCTTGGGGAATTAGCCAAAAAAGCATCCTACACGAACCTCTTCACAGTTATCTAACATTGCTTTGGTAGTGAATTGAGCCAGTGCACACAGCAAGCAAATATTCCTGCAGGGAGGCTTAACTGGAACTGCCTAAAGGTGCCCACAGCAAGAGCACCCATAGGGGAGGCAGTACCACGGACCCACCATGCCCGACATCACCACTTCAGCAAGACGCGTCAGGCCCGTTGTCCTGGTATCTTCAATGTGGCTTCTACAAGGTTTTCAAAACCAGGTTTTCTACCTGGTTTTCCAAAGTCTCACTTCAGCTACTTTCAGACTGGGGCACATGTTAAAACCCATGGGGTAATTAGGAAAGAGGGCTTTTTAAGAGAAAATAAATTTTTTCTGTAGGTCTGATCGTAAGTGAAGTTGAATGAGATAACCACAGAGCAGAGGAATGAGATACAGTAATTATTGCACAGCTCCTTTTTGTTGTGAAAGGAGCAACATTTTAGACAAAACATTTGTACAGGAGTTCCAAAGCATTTAAACAATGGAAAAATTTTGGTTCCCTCCCAAATTAAGTAGAGAAGTTACTTAAATCCATTGAGGACAAGCTGATCTTTTTGCAGATTAAGGTATCACCACTACTCACAGGACCATGCAACAGCATCTTGCCCAAAGCACAAAAAACAAACCAAAGAGTGGTACCATACAGGGAAGATTATACTCCAAATCTCACTATCTAAATTACTAAATGAAAGTTATTACAGCCTTTATACATCCCAGCTTGTGCATAAGTGCATTTTGCTTTAAGCTGCCATCCTACTAAAGTGAATTATGGACCATCTTTTCAGCTGTAGAGTTTTGCCATTAAGTTACATTAAAAAAAGGCTCTGCTCAGGTTCCACAGAAAAGAAAAACAAGGGCACACGGTCCTCCCAGTGTGGAGCAGGCTAACGGAAGGAAACAGAAACAATACGAATCCAAGACTGAAGAATTCAAGCTTGGAAAGGTTTGTCCAAAACACTTTTATTTAATGGAAAGAGTAGTGTTATTTACAACAATGCTAAATCCTTCCTGAAACAACCTCCGTAAATCCAGTATGTGAAGTTCACACTGGACACTGGCCTTAACTGTTGCCAAAAGGCAAAACCAACCAATTGCTCACAGGAGCAGCTGCAAATGTTAGTGCAGGCATGTTCCAAGCGTGAGGAGAAACAGTCATACAGGGAGAGAAAAGTGGGGAAAAAGAGAAAGTCGGTTTTAAAGAAGTCACAGTTTGTAAAAAAACAGAAGTTGATACCAGATTTGTTACCATGCAATTGCTTTCCTAGCCTTGCAGCCCACTTAGCCCTTCACCTTCCTATTTTCCCTCCAACACACTCACTTCCAGTTAACATTAAAAATAAAAAACACAAGAAGTTGGGAAGCAGCCACAGTCCCTCCAGTGCATCCCAACAGCAATTCCTCTGCTCCGGGGACAGGCACTGCTGCTGCTTGGCAGAACTTGCTCTCTATTTCACCCATTTGCAATTAAACAAGGAAACATGACTCGTTTTAGCCTGACACCCACACAATATAAAGGCTAAAACCCCTGTTTTTATCCTGGTGGGCTGTGGATTGATTTGAAGATGTTCACACCAAGAACTGTTCAGCACAGTCATTTGAGCAGTAACCAGAGTAGCTGTTTTAAGCACAGGGACTTACCTGCTGCCACCAC